CTTATATAACTATTGGATAAACCTTTAACTACATTAACTTTTGATGAAAAATCTCAAGATTACCAGTTTGCGCGTGTTTTGACAATTTTTTTTATTTATTTATTTATTTATTTTTTTGCTTTGTTTATATATATATATATATATATATATATATATATATATATATATAAACATATTAAGACCGTATTTTTGGAATTTTTATTATAAAGGGTCTCAAACTGTTTTGTAGAAATTTTAACGCCATTGTCACGGTTGAGAAGTATAGGAGCGTGATTTATTTCCTGATATGTTGAGACAATTATTTTTAAGTGATTCTCTAACTTTACGTTCATCGTATTCCAATTTTATTGCTAGTGTTTCCAAATTTTACCGATCAAACATACCATTATGTTCTCTACCGTTTTCAGTTGAACCAGATGCATCCCATTTACCTTTGAAAAATAATTTTTTGATGTTCAAAGCATCTCGTTAAACTTTTACTTTTTGTTTCGCCAATGTATATACTGCCACAAGAGCATGTGAGTTTGTAGACACCGGGATTGCTATTGGGAATTGACTTTGACTTGTTGTTGCATAAGATGTTTTTTAACGTAGGTGATAAAGTAAAATATATTTTAATGTTGTAATGTTTAAGTTCTTTTTTACGTTTTGTACTTATTCTTGGGAGCCATGGAAGCTTAAGTATATATTTACTTGTTTCTGTTTTACTATAGTTTATTTTAAAAAGGTTGTTTCTTTTCTGAATGTAGTTTTTAGCAGTTGATTTAAGTTTTAACCTATTGTCTCCATTTTCTGCATACATATTTACAAAAAACTATATTTTGTCATTAAGATACTTTGTGAAACAAATTTTAATTGTAGGAGTTACAAAATCTTCAAAAACACCTATCATTATTTTTGGATTAACATTTGATGTTGGTTTTGTTTGTGATATTAGTGATAGCCGACTTTTGATTGATTTTGAATTAATAGTTTATGCTATTAGTGTTGGTTACAGTTATATCCCAGAAGTTAAACTCCTTTTTATTGTTTTCCTTTTCTGAAGTATATTTTATTGCTAGATCTTGTTTGTTTCATAACTCAAGGAACTTATCATGATTTTGTATTGAATCGAATTTTGCATGATTGTCATCTACACACTTTCTATAAGTGTTTGGCAAAAAATGACCAACTTCAGCAATAAAAGAACTTTTGTCTCCAAATGCTGCAAAAACGCCTCAGCAACTATGATCATTAAAGACAATCCTATAGGTTCCGAATTCGATATATATCTTAATTCATTTTTGTATAAAAAATAACATAATAACATTGGTTGAGCAGAGTTCGATCATATCATGTATATCATATATATAAATATATATATAAATGTATATATATATATATATATATATATATATATATATATATACATATATATATATATATATACATATATATATATATATATATATATATATATATATATATATATAATATATATATATATATATATATATATATATATATATATATATATATATATATATATATATATATATATATATATATATATATATATATATATATATATATATATATATATATATATATATCATGTATATGTCTCAAAATAAATAAATAAACTTTATACATTTAATATACTTGAAGATACCAAAACAATAAGAATTATGAATTTAAAACATAAACAAATTTAAGGAAAAAAAGAAAAAAGGTTCGGTTATAAATACATAGTTAAACTGTATATGTTATACAGTTTTAAGATTTATTAAACAAAAGTGTTAAACAAATATTTACAAATTGTTAAACTATATATTTTATAAATGCAGTGTTTAATATAAAGTTAAAGAAATAAGAATTACAAGAATATAGATATATTATCCAATAAAAATCGGCTTTGTTAGGCTTTTGTTTGAAAGAGTGATAGCTAAACTCTTTAAAAAAGTCAAAAATTTTTAAAACTATTTTATTCCAAAGTAATGCTCCTCAAAATGAAATACAGTAGTTTTCAAAACTAATTTGATTTCGTAAAAAGTATTTTATCTTTTCTATTTTGTTATACAAATTATGAAAAGGTAAAGGAGAAATATTGTTTCTACATTTAAACAATATGGACATAACATTAGAAATATTAGGCTCACATATATTTAAAACTTTCACTTCAATAAAAAGAAGTTTGGCATGAGTAAAATGATCCTTAAAATTAATAAGGCGTGCAACATTATTTTATTGACGATAAAGAGGTTCTAGTTTACTTTTATTAGCGCAACCCCACGCAATATTCACATAGTTTATGAGACAATAAATGAGCAAATAATATAGTTTAAGTAATGTGTATTTACTTAATAAATTCCTTGCTTTGTATAAAAATCCTATGTTTTTTAATATTTTACTATTTAAATTTTTTAGTTTGACTTTTCCATGAAAAAATTTCATCAATATAAATATCAAAAAGTTTTAAACTATTACTTTTTTTTAGAACTATATTAGCAATAAAAAACGGTGCTATGTCAATTAGATTTTTTTTGTGATTTAGATGGAAAAAAATTCATTTCATTTTATCAATATTAAGAGACTTTATGGAGATCGTTGAGGTAAATAAGAAAGAGAAGAGGCTCTTATATTGATCCCTGAGGAACTCCACAGGTTATATCGAGTAAGTTTACTTGTGAAACTACATCCACGTATACAAACTGCTTTCGATTGTTTAGATAGATTGTATCGAATGCTTTAGCTAAATTGATAAAAAACCCAACTGTATATTAGGAGTTTTTAAAAGAATTAGTAATACTTCTCATACACTGGAGAACAGCGTGTTCTGTCGAGATATTTTTTTTGAATCCATATTGCTTGCTATGTATTAAATTTTTTACAGATAAATGATTATAAATTCTGTTGTATAAAATTCTCTCAAAGACCTTTGAAAATGCATATAGAAAAAAAATAGGACGATAGTTGCTAACATTAGTTTAATCGCCTCCCTTAAATATTGGAAATACCTTTGCTATTTTTAGTTAGTTAGGAAAAACACATACACGTATAAACATATACGTGTAACATAACTTGTAGACGTATAAACATTTACGTGTTAACACTTACAGACATAGTTAGTGAAAACCATGTATAAAT